CAGCCAGAAACAAACTTTAAGAAAACATTTTCTTAGTCGTACGTCATTGCCCATATATCAAGCGAAACCCATGCGTCAAATTGTACTATTATGTGCATATATGTAATTTAACGACGATACCGGTGGTTCTGACTATACAATGTCGAATTATGGTACGAACTAACTAACTAGATGGTTTACCGAACCCGAAGGTTCATCACCGAATTAATCAAAGCCCTCCACCGAACCCTGTCCTGGGCCGAGGCTTAGTTAATTTGTTCGTAACAATGCTTTTCCTTTCGGTGAAAGGTTGTTGGCCTTACGCCCAACCCCCAAGCTGCAGGACCACCCCTCGCCTGCTGTCCACGACTGCTTATTCAATATATTTGCAGTTAACCTCCATACCTGGAGGCCTTTCCTCTATATGCAACCTGAGGACGCGCCATGCGGTGGTGCGAGGGACCCCACCATAGAGTTACGAAATTCGCACGGACTAGCTGAAGAAAACCACGAAAAATGTATGATCATAGTATCTAGGTCCAGATTGTAATTCAGTCACTCCCCCCAATAGGATGCCGGAATGCTTACCACTTGGACGAAATGTTTGATGTGCGTAAAATTCCTTACATTTTATAGCTGAAGAATTATATTACCTGGTTAGTTAGGCTTTTTAATAAAGAACTGATCTGTCACAAGTCCAGTGACTTGGTAAAGGTTTGCAGATTTAAGAGGCACTGACGTGGAGGCAAGACTCCAATTTCATGAAAAATTCAGTTCCTTTAAGAGAGTTTGCGAAATGCAAAAGAGACTATGACAGGCAAACAGTAATAAATATAAACACACTAAATAAAAAAAAGCAAAAACTAAACTAAATGCAAGTAATCGATCTAAACATTTTCTCGTATCGGGGAAGTGTCCTCAAAGGAGACGCTGTTTTTGCTGCAAACATCTGGATGCCATTTGCAATAATAATAATAATTTATTGGTGCCCTAAATCGACATCCAAGAGGCCAATTACAGACACAGCACAAGACAAAGAACGCAAGAACAAAATAATAAATATTGAATGATAACAACAAACACGTTAACAGATAATTACATGAGTGTAGAGAAGTTAATACCTAAAGGCAACTTCCGGGTGAATATATATACATATATGATAATAATTCAAATAAGTCAATTAGATTAAAATGGGAAGAAAATACGCAAAACAAAACAAGGAACTAAATCTGAAAATGTATATAATTAGTCACAGTCAATGGTGAGTAGATAAGATAAAGGGGAATATACACAAATTTACACTGAATGTAATTAATATCTAATCTGCTGATTTAAGTTATTATACAATTTGATTAAGAAAAACAAGTTTTGTTTAAATATATTAAAGTCCCTGCAGACAACACAGCAGCTGATTCGCATCTCGCAGAAAGACAGATTTTAATTGAAGGGCTGTAACTCAGCATAAAAAAGTCTGTCAGATATCGAGCAGGAATTCGAAGATGGACAACTTCCAGAAGGGAAAGAACAGTATTTAAAACCACGGTAAAAGTTGCATACGGAAAACTGCATCGCTGCATGGTCTGGAGTTTTAAATACTCTCAAACAGCATTATCAACCTATGGTACGCGTACCGCTGGTGGTAAGCGAGCCAATTTTCAGTGGTACGCGAACTAAGTAAGAAAATCAAAAGGTAATTCAATTAATTTATTTACGTGTTTGCCAACAGCAAGAAGCCAATAACAGGCAAACACTGATAATACATACAATAATAGTGAAATAATAATGGATAATATTACACAAACGGATTAACTAAACTTATACATGTACAGTATGAAATATAACAGCCAAGTACAGGCAAACCCAAAATAGAAACAATATTATTAACATAAATAACACTTTTCCCTGAACGCGTCTGGTCAGTGGTACATTTAATGAGTTAAATTAGAATTAGTGGTACGCCAGCGAAAAAGGCTGAGAACCCCTGCTCTAAAGCATTAGCATAGCTGTAATGCACACGGAGGAGGAGACGATCATGACAGAGTGGTGCAAACTTTGCTGGAAACGTTGCAGTTTGTTGGCATCAGTAGTTGTAATAGAATTCCATACGACAGGTAAATTTGCGGTAGGAATGCTCACAATTACGTGTACTGGTTTCAAAGGGGAAGAAATTCCAATAATAAAAGGAGCTGCTTTACAATACCAGAATCAATAAAATAAATACGTAACTCACTAAAGTTTTAAAACACTAAGTCTCGGACACTAATGTTGCCAACAGTATCTATTTGTCGTCTGAGGTTGAGAAGACACGTGGAGATGTCGATGGCATCTCCCTTGAGTTTGGAATAATAATGGAAATTAGCCTGAGAGAAACAGCTTCCAGTCAAAACTGGGAGTGCTGAAATCACCCATGAGAATAACTCCAAAACTTTGTGTATACAAATTGCTTTTAAAACCGAAAGTAATTAGTAATAACTTCAGGTTTAGTATCAGGAGAAAAGTTAATGGTTGCCAGTTAGTAAATTCAGACCGTCACAAATGGATGTTTAAACCCATACACTTTCGTTTAAAAGATTCTAAATCACGCATGCGTTTACATGAACGAATTCTGGGGCATAAATCCATTAACATTCCACCTCCAAACGTCTTATTAGTACGTACTCTGTCAGAACGGAAAACTGAGCAATCATCAGGAATCATTGTTATCGTAACAAAAGCCATCAAGCCATGTCTCAGTTAAGCATATTAAATTGTGGCCCGTGGACCGTACATTACCACGTAATTCACGTTGCTTGATATTGAGACCTCTAACGTTTTGATAATAAATATTTAAATAATTTACTGGCTGAGTCTTAGACATGGAGAAACCACCTGTGTTTACATCACTGATATGAGCCCTAAAATGGGAGCCACCTACTGGGCCCAACGCTGAAACCCCTGCATCAGGGGGAAGACGAAATAAAACAGGCGTAGCAGAATAAATCTAATCCGAATTAAGTCGCCTAAAATGCTGGACGATTAAACATCCACTCGGCCAAACACCGGTATTATTTAAAAGTAATCCTCTATAACTGAGGTATTAAATGAAACATACTAAGTTTTGTTTTTAATCTAGTGCAGGTAAGCGTTAATTGCTCTTTTAAGGACTTTTAAATGTCTACAGGAAAGATTAAATCTCGCAGAGCAAGGTTTACTACAGCCCAGAAACATTTACTTCTAGCAGACATCACAGGTATTCTTACCTTCAGTCAAGCAATCAAACCAACGCTGTCGGTACAGAAGCACCAGATCAAACACACGTGTATACGTCGAAATCAACTTTACATTACACTACAGCGCTGCACGCGGCGCATGGAACAAGCACGACTGAGCGCGCTACACTGCAGCCGAGTTCGCAGCCCAGAAAAACTGTGGCGTCTTCTATCGCCTAAGTGTATTCCTGAAATACATTAAGATGACAGAGTAACGCTGCTCAGGACTACGTTATGCATGCCTTTAAAGGATGCGAAGCCAATGTCAATTCCTCCACCATCCCTAAATTAATTGGAAAAGCTGGTCATATTCAGGTTTCATCCGTATTTACTTTTTACCCACTGTGAAATACCCCGCTACTCAATCAACAGGAACGTGAATGGGTTCTCCGCGATCTATCGTTTTTAAAACGACAATCGAAAAGTCGACCAGTTTCTTTAACCTAGTTTTATACATTTTAAACGACAAAGTGCTTTCCAGCTGAAAATCTAACAATTATTTGCGAAATTATTTTAGGCTACTGTAAAATGGTTAGAATGAGAGATAAAAGTAAAACTTTGGGTCCGAGAGTTATTAAATTTTAACGAAATCCATCTTAAAAGGGTGTGGTCGCTCATGTGTAAAAAAGAAGACAGTGGAGAACAGACATGGGGGAGGGGGAACCTAATACTACGTTTTATCTTCTGTATTTCAAAGGAAAATGAAATGGGCTGAGTTTTGTTTATTCCTTATTCTAAGACACCACAAATCAATAACTTTCTTCGTATGAAGATCAATTACCAAGAGATTTGAGATCCTCACGGCAGCGAGCATGAAGATGGTTTATCTTGTGGGTTGCTGCGCCGTGTAGTCTGGTAGACATTTACAGACGTTTCAGAGGTGCTTATTGCCTCCATCATCAAGGCGATCACCTGATGAAGGAGGCAGCGAAACATCGGAAAACTGAACCAGAATACACAGCGCAGCAAAACAGAAGAAAATCATCTTCCAAAATTACTAACGTGAAATTATGGTTGGGACAGCAAAATGACAAGTTTCGGAAGAAGAACGAGGAAGCGGCCGTGGTTTACTTTACAAAATATTCTTGCCATTTATCTAGAGAAGCTCAGGAAAACTGCCGCAAATCCGACTTAAGTTCGAATCTGGTTCTTCCAGAATACGACAACTCCCAATTTTAGCGAACTCCGCTTCCTAAACGTAAATCCAACTAACCAACCAACTCCCTGGTAGTAGAAACCGCAGGTTCAACACCGACAACACCAAAGCCCGCCACCGGCCAAGATCCTGAGCCAACTGCATCCATTTACCATCCTCACAGTCCACCTCTCTAAGATCCATCTTGCTGTTGTCCTCCCACCTCATTCTTGGTTTGCCCAGTGGTCGCTTTCAAGGATTCCCTACCAAAATTCTTTATGCATCCCTTGCTTGCTCCATGCGTGCTACAAGTCCAGCCCATCGGATCCTCCTAGATTTCACTATGCTAGGTCACCCGTACAATTCACGTAGCTCCTCGTTATGTAATATTCTAAATTCCTCACTTATTTCATCCTTCCTAGGTCCACATATCTTCCTGAGTACCTTGTTTTGAAACACCTGTAATTTACGTTCTTCCTTCAAGGTAAGAGGCCATGTTTTTCAGCCATACAAGACAACAGGCAAAATTATTGTTTTATACATCCTGATCTTCAGTGTTTTGGATGGCAAAAGAGATAATAACAGTTTTTGAATTGAATAAAAAAAGCCTTTCCCGAATGTGTTCTACACCCAATTTCATCGTGAACCTCATTTCTTGTTGTTATTGTTGTTCCGAGATACTTAATTTTGAAACAATTTTAAAAGATGTGTTCCGCCGTTCTGTGGATCTCGTATTACGCCCATGTTTTTAGTTTTGTTCACATTTACTTCTAGGCCTATTTCCTTGCTAGCTGGTAGGAGAATTTCTGCATTCTTGGTTATGGTACCCACACCACCCCCCAGAAAATTGACATCAGCATAGGCAAGTATCTGGTTCAGACATTCAATTCGTGCCCTTCCCTTACCTTCCTGATGACTTGTTCTTGAGCAAAATTAAAATGCAATGGGGATAAAACATCCGAACTACAAACAGAAATATATAAATGAACACAAACAACATACTAAAGATTTTTGGTTGGTATATTAAATGTCACTATGTTCAGTCTTCTTGAACTCTATTTTGTTTTCTGAAACCGTGGTCCATAGGAGACAGACAGAAGATGAATCTCGCTTTTGTTGAATCAAACAATTCAGAAAACTTTGAACACTTCAGATGGTTCCTAATTTCTGAGTAACAATTTACGTCGTATGGGCGTATTCCATCACAAAACTTATCTATAAAATGGCATTTATAAACAAACTGATACTGGAAAGTTCCCCCATTTGTTCGTGTATTTCCTTATTCGTTGTTACAAGAAAGCTGACTTTCTAAGCGATATCTGCTGGAGGGATGTCTAAATCATGGCACTCGATCCAAAGGCCCTAAAAGGTCCATAAAATATTCTAGTCGGTAATTCTCTTTCACAGTTATCCAAATGAAATATTCCAAAGCGGCCAGAACGAGAAGCCATCCACTCACCTCCACATAGTGCAAGGATTAAGTATACGTCACTACTAATAATTCAGTTTGATGAATGTTTTTAAAAGTTAATATCACATCAAGGGTTCTCAGCCTTTTCCAGATGTAGGGTCACATTCCCCCCTTTCTTGTCAACTCGCGGGCCGCAGGATTATAAATGAGGGCAAATCATTAAAACTCCACGGCAGTGGAATACCTGACAACGCAAATTTTCTTACTTTCTCCGTGAATGTCTTAGGATTTGCAAGCATCTCTCCAAAAGTTCATTCGTAAGACACGTCCTAATTCTTGATTTCACCTTCATTATTAAGCTGAATAGTTTCTCACGGCGGTAGGCACGACATGTCTTCTGATTTCAGGACATTATTTTGGCGAAGAAACGTGTTTTTAAGAGATACGAGAAAGTGATGAGTCACAGGAAAAGTCTTCTATTCACCTCGTTAAAACCTCACTGGATAAATTGATGGCTGAGTTTGGTTGCATCCGAGATGGACAAATAATATCAACAGCGTACTGAAGACACTTCTTTACAAATTCCTCGTCGACAACTGGCTTTCTGCGTTCTGCAATTTTTTCCCCTGTGATAATTCACTTTAACACTCACTTTTTGCCTGTGCGGTTCCCTTGAACAAAAGTGGCTTCTGACCGGGGAGTTGACTTTTAAATTGTTGTCATTTATCATTCCGAATATGTCCTTCCACGCCATTATACTTCGAGCCACGTTTCGAATCATAAAGCCAATTATCTTCCAACAATGTGAACGCCTCCTTCCAAATTAAGCTGCATTTTGTTCAAACTCTACAAAAAGTACTCCAGACCCCAAGTTAAATGAAAAACTAGTATATCCTCTCTCTCTCTCTCCTTACTTGAGATAGACCGGCTATCCTGACTGGGGTTTTCGTGGTTTTCCTCAGTCTCTCCAGACAAATTCCGGGACAGAACCTTAAATTAGGCCACAACCGCTTCCTTCCACATGCTTTCCAATTTACTATTTGATATCTTCTGTTTCGACGCTATGGAAAATGCGTCGTTTAATAAACTATGAGGGAAAAAAATAAATAAATAAATAAATTGATATAGCCATACTTAAATAGATACAGTGGATTCCGGTTAATTGGGACACGTCGGGACTAGAACATTTTGGCCCAATTAACCGGAATCTACTGTACTGATAAAAAGTAGCACACTTACTTGAAACCATCACCAAACTATGATATAGCCCTTGTGCAAAACCTGCTCTGCATTTACTTGCCAGATGATTCACCTTGATTTTGAAAGTTACAGTGGATACAAGGAATTGACTTCTAGACTTCACTTCTAGACTCAACAACTGACAACAGCCACCACCACAGCCACTGGCATTACAAATCGTAAAATTTCAGTACTAATGTTAAACATTCCTTGAAGCCACCAATCGTGATCAAGTTGCATGGGTGATTTATTTGTATTAACCATTCCATTTAGATAAATATTTAATTTTCCCTGTAACTGTTAATTATACAGGGTGATAAAATAGCTTATCAGAAAATCACAAAAAATAAAGGCGAGCAGCACAAGGCCGCAGGTTCAGAACTCCTGATCTACATTTTCTTTCACATAGATTCAAACCTCATTGATTGCGCTATGATTGATTTTGGTGGACCTCCCGTCCAGTACAGGGCGTCACAACCCATACAACCGTCAACATCTTCAAAGCCGTGAAAACCCAAAGAAATTTCCATTTGACTAAAATAATACAGTGACTATAGCCATATGCCTCGTTAGCACACAGCCACAAGACGTTATCAAACTCCAAACTTACAGGAAAAAAAATCATGTTTTATTTATGCTCTATGGGCCGAAATGTACTTTAAAATAAACAGCATTGAATTCTGCCCTGATGGAGAAAAAATATGAGCCCATCTGACCTAAGAGACCTAACTAACTAACTAACTTCCTGGTAGCAGAACCCGCAGGTCCAACACCGACAACACCAAAACCCGCCACTTCCGAGGTTCTGTTGTTGTTTTCGTAACACAAAACATTTTTATGGTGAAGGGCTGTTAGCCCTACGCCCAACCCTAAGCTGGAGGACCACGCCTTATCGGCTGTCCGCGACTGCTTATTCAGTCTATTCGCAGCGAACTTCCGTAACTGCAGGCTGTGCCTCCATCCGCAACCTGAGGACCCCCCCCCCCCCCTACTCACCTAGGAGATACTTAAGAAAACAATAATGGAAGAATGGAAAAAAAACTGCATTCGTCACTAAATATCATTAATAAGACCAAATCGAATGTAAGAGGAGATGAATATGCAGGACAAAGTTTAAGATGAGAAATGCACGCATAATCAGAAAACCTGAAGGGATGATAACGGTTGGAAATCGTGGCGTAGATGGGAAGATAATATTAAAGTGAATCTTAAAGAAACAGTGTAATAGTGTGGACGTAATTCATCTAGCTCTGAATAGGGTTTAGTGGCGGGCTCTTGTGGACGTGGTAATTCAGTTTCGGGCTCCATTAAACGATTTTATATTCGCCAGCAGCTGACCAACTATCAGCTTGTGAAGGACTCTGCCCCACCGAGTATGAGTAAAATTGTTCATATAAACTTTCGGATAATGCATTTAAAGTCTTTTGTCGACAAATTTTATAACTATGTTAAAACACTCCAGCATTATAAGAAGCATATGTAACGTCACCGCAATGTGAAGATGAAACAAACGTCTATGCCTTCCATGTTGTTTAATACGAGTGGACGTGAAAGATCTAATAGGTACTCTATTTGTGTTGCGGCACCCATAACAAGTAAAAAACATTAACGCAAGAGACAAAACTAAAAGAAATGTCAGTGTTCTAAATTTACCACGACCACTGACAAATATACAATGTAAAGGTGCTTAATTAGCAACAACCAACATTGGTACCGATACTTTCAAGATGTGTTTTCTCATAAAACTTTGAAGACTTTAAAATGATACAATTTAAATATTTTGTTTCTCATTTGGCGTGTGTGAATCCTGCACTGGCATACACACGCAGACTACAATACTACAACAGATACAACAAATGAGTAACAACCTTGTTCTTGCACGTAGCATCTTGGCACACCAGGCGTAGCACATGAAAAGTCGCGGCACAACGGAACACAATCTCAACAAGGAATAATTCAACCGTCTACAACGCACAAAGCAATGTTCTCCTACGACCTCACCGTCGGCCTGTTGCCTAGAGACTGAGATTCACAGTGCATGCAGCCAGCAAACACTCGCTTTCTGCCCAGCCCACCCTCTTGCTTGGTTTGGCAGGCGAATGTCATAGAGGAAACGGAACAGGAAATCAAATGCAAATATTATAGCTCCACAGAATCATCTGTGACTGCTGTGAGCTCAACTAGACAACTGCAGTCACATCACCATCAGCAACGATTCCGCATTTCTCTACATTCTCCGTAATGAAATTATGCATATTAAAAAGGTTTTATGGTTCTTTTATTTTTCAAGTTTTAACAAATATCTCTACAGGTATAGTCTTAACTTGTAGGCCACAGGATCTATATGAATATAGATGGATGCTTTTTTACGAACAGGGTACTGAGGAGAATATTTGGCCCAAATGATGGTGGCGCAGCAAGAGGCTAGAGACAACTGCACAACAAGTAGCTTCATCATTTGCACTCTTCATTAAATAATTCTGGGATGGTCAAATCAATGCGGATGGGACAGGCGGGGCACGTAACATTTAAGAGAGACATACAAAATTTGGTCAGAAAACTTGACGGGAAAAGACCACTTGGTAGACCTACGTGATAAGATTTTGATCTAGAGGAAATCGGGAGGGGGCTGGATTTATGTTGCTTAGAATAGAGACCGGTGGAAACGACAATGAATCAGAAGGTTACACAAAAGGCTGGGAATTTCTGGAGATTAGCAACTAAGAACCTGCTCCATGGAATTAGTTGGGCCTATATGTAACGTTTCACTCCCAATTTAAAATTCAGTTTTATGTGTTTGATGCCATGACTGATTAGTCTTTAGTTTCTTCAATGACAAACATACCTTCAGATGAAGCAGAAAATCAATTTGCTAAACAAGAAATGAGAGTAGCCGGTTAGCGTGTCCCCACTCCGTCGCCCCCCTTCTTAGTGCCGGGAGGACTGGCTCTCTCGAACCCAGAGAAGGCAGAAGCCCTGGCCGACAGCCTTGAGGTCCAGTTCCAGCCGGTAGACAACCCGTCGGACCTGGCTGCAATTGACATGGTTAACGAGACGATGCGAGCATACGAGTATGCCCCCGCAAATGAACCAAAATTAACCAGTCCCTCGGAGGTCGCCCAGGCCATCAAGGGACTCAAGCTTGGCAAGGCTCCGGGCCCCAACGGTATACCGAACAGGGTCCTGAGACATCTCCCACGACACGCGGTAACCTTTCTCACGAAAGTGTTCAACGCGGTCCTCCGCAGGCAACACTTCCCCTCGGCATGGAAACACGCTCGCGTGGTGTCCATACTGAAACCGGGGAAGGACCCTACACTACCTTCTTCCTATAGACCCATCAGTCTTCTCGACACGGTCGGCAAACTCTGCGAGAAAATCCTACTAACGAGGGTCCTACACGAGGTCAGCGAACGCGGGCTGCTGCGCGACGAGCAGTTTGGGTTTCGACCCAGACACAGCACATCGTTACAGCTGGCTCGCCTCGTCGAAAGGGTCAACAGAAACCTTGATGAGAAGCGGCTAACCGGCGCGGTTTTCCTGGACGTGGCCAAAGCCTTCGACACAGTCTGGGTCCAAGGCCTCCTATACAAACTGACCGTCCTCAACTTCCCGTCGT